AACCTGAGACCAAACTGACTTTTTTATAAAGTGACTATGTCTGATAAAAAAGTAATAGCAACCATACATCATAAAGATCTCAATAATGTATCTCTGGGGACTTCATTGGAAGAATAAATTTCTCATCTAAGTCCTGAGCTAAAAATGTTTAAGAATCTTTGTGTCAATACATCCGCAGCCAGAATGAATTTGAGGTCATTTGTGAGTGAAAGTGTTTAGCCTGCTGCTGCCGGCACCCTGTTGATGACTTTGTTTTGTTCACTGTGGTTTCCAGAAGACATATGGTGAGCGTTATGTTCTAGCCCCAGTTCTCCGGACCCATCAGTGGTGCTAAGCTCAAGCAGCAAGCCGAGCAGAGATTTCTGTGTGTGTCTGTGTGTGTGTGTGTGGGAGAGGGAAAGCAGATTGGTGTGTAGCTATCTGTGAAAGTCAGCCCATCAGTCAGACCTGCTTCTCTTCCTAAGAGACACAGTCTGGGCTGTGTGTGTATAAATGTGTATGTAGCATGTAAAATGATGCTGACATGTGGTATTGCACTCAAGTGTGGGTGTGAATATGCATGACTGGTGTAATGTGAATATCAGAAAAGAAGTAGAGTGTGCGTATAAAGTTAGCATCAGAGGTATCGTGAACCTGGCTGTGCTCCCGCACTGCTGTCTCTTATTAAAGCCCATTCTAAAGGAAACCACACAACACCTGGAAAAGTCATTACATACTCTTTTTCACACACACACACACACACACACACAGAGTCTATCATATCCCAGACCAGGGGGTTTGTAGGCCATATGTAAAGTCCATAAAAACCTGAAATTGTCTATTCATTTTTATTCAAAGCTGTATAAAGAATGGTGTGTTGTGCAACCATATGTGTGGATGAATGCTTTCCATGTGTGCTCGTTCATGTGAACAGTAGTAGCGACCAGGCATGTCTGTGATTTAGTGTTGAGGTCATGTGGGTTGATGCTTAGTGGGAGTCAGTGTGTCCGGACCAGAGAGGCCCAGTGGTTTGGAAGCAGAGCAAGGTTAGACTCTTTAAACCGACAGCAAACTTACTTTCAATCAAATGACAAGCTGTTGTTTATCAGTGGCTCCGGAGATCTGGCAAAAATTGTCTACATGAGCTTTTTGCAGGGCAGCTGGTGTTTTCAGATCATACTGTTGGCTGTAACTTTCTGATTCACAGACCGATTTGTGGCACAGTAGAAGATAAAGCATTTGGAAATTGGACCACTCCAGCTGCAAATAATACACTGATAATACACAGGACTTCCTCTTGTTGTTTTGGTTCTCAGAAGGAATTAGGTTTTTATTGTTATTAGCCTCTGGCTGGTTTGGAAATGTACCAACATTTCTGGTGCAGGTGTGGTGGTCTGCAGTGCCTATTCCATCACTGGTTTTTAAAACACAAACAGTGCAGCATTTCCTCTTACACGATACCACGATGCCAGTGAGAACTAGTTACTGTCATTATCTTGAAGCAGTTTGCTGTGTATTAACGTGACAACTAATGCACTCAAGTGATCCTCTTTATGTTGAACTGGCCATAATATCAGAGGTACATACTGATGCATCAGTGGAACCTCGACTCTCAGGCTGAAGTGAGGTTGGTAGTGCTCCAGGTCTGTAATTCCTCTAAACCAACAAGGCATGAAAATACCCTTAGTAACAGAAGAGCTAAGACCCTGACTGCACCTTAGCATGTCTGAGACTTTGATGAAAGACAGGAGTCAGGAGGGAGAGAACAAAAGAGGAGTACAGGATGGATGGTGACGAAGGAAGAAAGAGAGGGCAGTGAGGTGAGGAAGCAGAGTGTAGGTAGTGAGAGAGGAAAGGAAAACATGGAGGGGGAGAAGGAGAAAGAGGAGCAATAAGGAAAGAGGGAGTGACAGGAGTTATGGGGATGAATGAGGGATAGAGATGCATAAATGAAATAAACGGGGTAAAAAGCTGAGAAGTAAATGAAGGGAGGGCAGGTGGGAGGGTGGTAATGTGTTAGAGAAACAGAATGAGAGCAACGGAGTGATAGAGGGAAGAAAGAGATAGAGCTGCTGCTGCATGTGTGTGTGTCTGTGTGTGAACAGAAAGCATGAGAGAGAGGTTTATCCAGAATAGTGTTTATCCTTTCTGCTCACTTGGGAAGAGAGGGGACTGCAGGCCGTTACTCAGCACAACAGATAGGCAGCTATCAGCTGCCATAGCTCTGGCCAAGTCCAACTGCCTGTGTCTGTCTGTGTGTGTGTGTGTGTGTGTGTCCCTGGCAGTACATTTACACTATGTGTATAAAGTGCGTATCTCTCTCTCTGGGCTTGCATGTGCCTTCCGTTACCAAATGCATGTAATAGACCACAGTGAATAGCTGTGTGAGTGAATGGATGTGATAAAGTGGGAGTTTTCGCATGTTGACTGCAAGGTGCTGATAATTTGGCCAAATAATAAATGTGAGCACATATTTACAGCACAGATGGTTAAGCAATACAAGACAATACAATACAACAACAAGACAAGCCAGCAACACAAAGCAGCTGTTCTATACACAGACACACTGTGTTCAGAAGTATTATCAAACATGCCTAAGAGGCTTCAGCCATGCTAGGTCTGTGAGGCTGTTTTGCTTTGAACTAAATGCTAATGTCATCACGCTAACATGCTCACAAAGACAATGCTAACATGATGATGTTTAATAGGTCATGTTTAGCATGTTCACTATAGCCCCTTTCACGCATCCTTTATTTTCCATTAATGTGACGGCATCTGAATGTGTCATGTCTGAATGACGACCATGGTCACTTTTCCATAAAGGTCACAACGACATTCTTACTCATTGACAAATATAGCATCATGACACCACCACTTCCCTCAACTATGCAAAAATGAAGCCAAAATATCATGAATACTGCGGCTGCCATCTTGCTTTTTTGTAACCACATTCTACACAGTAGTGACTAGAAGTGAAGTGACAGTATCGGTCTGCGAATCGAAGACTACAGCCAAAAGCTGACTAGCACGTACGTTCTGCACCTGTGTGACAGGCCAACTTGTTTTTACAGATGAACAGGCTGGTTGATTGTTAGCAAAGCACAAGTCTGAACTGCATACAGTCACTTTAATGAATAGGCACACCATCCAGTGGTTTAATATAGTGGCAGCAGCTTGCACTTACAGGTTATCTCCATAATCCAGACAAGGTAGTACAGTAGATTGTATTGTGGCCTTTAAGTGAGAGTTTTGTAGGACGATCTGCTGTCTAAGATTAGATTTTCATTGGGAGCATGGATCAGAGTATGAACAGCAATGCTTCTTAACCATTTAGGGTCCTAATTTGAAGTCACTGACAACAACAGTCTGAATTCTACCAAAAAGATAAGCCTTTATATGATAAGATATGGACAGCTGTGAAGAGAATAATCAGAACCCACTAAAAGCAACTGATGTAACACGATGCTGTGAATGTCAGAAGCAATAGTTAAATCTACAGAGAGCACTCAACACAGTTGTGTGCTGTGCTAGGGAGCCACAAGTCAGTGTGGAACATCTGCACCCAGTGGTACAAAGTACTTTTTTTGTAGTTGGAGTTGATTTGTCTTGAAAGATCTAATCTCTCTTTTTCAGGCATTAGACTAAACTGAATTTGAAAACTATTCCAAATATACTGATTTATCACACTGACACAATTAGAACAAGTGAAGAGCATGTGTTTACCAAATGGCTCAGTACACAACAGTTTCACAGAAGAAATAACATAAGGACATAAGGAAGTTTATTGTCATTGTAGTCTCTACAACAAAATTCCATTTGGCACTCTCATAAAAGCAGCAAGGATCAATATTTAAATGCAATCCAACATGAACAAACTGAATAAAACAACAGTAAACATCATATAAAAACATGGACAACTAAAATGCTGTAATAAAAAGCAGCAACAGCGTAGCGTGGGCAGTCCACTTAAATGTTCACAGCATAAAGAGCTTTAAAAAGATATTATCACATCAGAACAGGTTCTATTGCACATTTTAGTTCTTATTAATGATTGTCAAGTATTATCATATGTGTGTAGGGAGGCTGAAACCGAGTGGTGGTGGTGGTGGTGGGGTGATAGAGGCTACAGCTCTGGGGAAAAAGCTCTTCCTCAGCCTGGTAGTGTGAGTTTTTAAAGTGCAGTATTTCTTTCCTGATGGTAGGGGGACAAACAAGGAATGTCCCGGGTGGATTTTGTCTGTGCTGATGGATCTTGCCTTTCTCCGCAGGCAGTCAGCATATACAGACTGGAAATATGGAAGAGCACTTCCCATAGTCTTCTGAGCTGTCTTCACTTTAGACCACAAACTGAAAATTGCTTTAGCATTACTGTTTCCCCTGATGCCCCTGCCCATGTGCACCCTCTCTGATCATACTGGGATAAAGTAGCAAAAATGAAACTGATTTTTCTAAGCTCTGGCAAAGTTTTTCAAAGACTTAAAAAGGTTTAAAATATACATAAAAAGTGGTGATATATGTTTAGCTAATTTGCATTTTACATACATCTATTTTATCATTGTGGTCTATGGAGAAAATGCTTTTTGGGCTACGGGGGATTTTTCGTTGCAGTACCGCAAATGGCCTTTGGGAAAAAGATGGCTGAACGGCTGAATGGTGGCGACATATCCATTCTTTCAATAATACATCCGTGGTAGTAGCAGTTTCTGGTCGCTGTTAACACGGAGGGACTATCAAAACACCGCCCCCTCGTGCTACGCGGAATTTTAAACAAACGCACCACTGATGCTAACACTAGCAAGCCGACTGTAAACACCGCAGGAGGGTGAATCAGAGTTCAGTGGGAAAAGATATGACATTCTTAAAGAGTCACTTTCCAAATGAAAGGCCACACAGTAAGTAGTTAGTTATGAGCCCATGAAGGTGGTCTACAGTTATATTTTTACATAACGTCGTTTAAACTGTTCCGTTTATCAGCTTTCTTGCTGTTTTACCTTGAAAGTAATGTAAGGTTAACTCCACAGATTCAAGCCAGTCTCCAAACCAAACTACTGTAATTAACACCGTGCAAATGTACGTAGGCTGCTGCTTGATGGAGGGATGAGAAGAAGAAACAGGCCGCAACAATGGGCACGAAAACATGGCGCTCATGACGATTCAATATGTAAAGAGAAAGATGATGGAGGAAAAGAAACGAACTGATTCAGGACCAAAACAGTTTGAGAGACATGTAACTCACTGATTCTGTTAAAAAACATGATCAAAATCCAACCAGACTCAAAACATAAGATTTGAGCCTCTTGTGAAATAACAGGGGATGAACACAAAAAGATATGGTCATCATTTTCTTGTGCTGTTGAGAGGGTATTTACAGCAGTAACATGGACATGTACTATAGTTTTACTTTTGATCATCTGAGAAACACAAAATGCAGATTTCCAGCTGTAACTGTTCATTTGGCCATTTGTGAGGTACAAACAGATAAAATCCATGTGGATTACTGGTGTATGGTGGCAGCAAACCGGAGCAGGGGAACCGGGCTGTAGGAGAACGACACAGACCTGAAGACGTTCTCCAGGGTCTCTGGGAGCAGGTGGTAAGTACTGAAAGTCAAAGAACTGGCTTTGACGACGCGTTTTGGTTGGACTATTATCACTCAGCATAGCTAGGAAATTGTCATACAGCATCATATGATTGTTTGGGATAATATATTCAATAGGCCTGTCCCAAATATTTTGGGTGGGACCTGTTCCCCCTGGAGATTACCCCCTAGTAATAAGATTTTCTATGACTGTAACATCCACCCTGTGACAAATGGCTGCTTCTGCCACACCAGAGAATAAAGTCAGTCTAACATTTGATTGTGTGGGGAAATTACTGTTACCACTGAAGGAAAAGTGTTTACATGGCTCTTGAAACAGGCTCCAACTTAATTGTGCGTGCACGCACATGTGTTGTAGGTGTGCTCTGGTACTTCATCAAATAGCGCTACATCTCTGCCTGTCATCAGTTTAAGTCCTGGAGTTAAGGTTAGTTAGCGACAGCTGGTACGACCCTGCTGGTTGTTGTTTTAACCAGAAACAGCAACAATCAGGAGAAGATGCTGAGGGCGTTGGCCTTTGTGTTATTCTCTCAAAATATTTAAGTTTAGAGGAAAAAAACAAGGAAGGATACTGCAAAAATATTATTGTGGTTTCAGTGGAATAGATTTACAGTTGTGGTCAAATGGTCTACTTGTTGTTACAGAGGTTCTCTGCACAATTTGGGGAAAAATTAATGTTTAATATTTTGAAGATGAACACAAAAAAAACAAAAAGTGTATGTCAGTGACTTTGATCCAAAAGTGTAAACTGCAGCATTTAAAGGCATTTATCAGTGTAGCCTGTGTTTAACTTTCACCAGTGCTAGTGCTGATACAGAGAGTAACTAACTTATTTCCAAATAGTGCTGGAAGCTATAAAAAGTTCCAGGTTGACTGTTGCTTTGACGTGAATGTGTCCCTGCATATCTGATGCACTAGATAAAAACAGAAACGAACACACATATACAGTGAAGATATCCTTTAGGCAGGGCTACTTGCAAAAACAACATACAGGGAGGAAAGATGAAAATGATATAGGAGAGGAAGGACATACAGAGGTATACATACAGACTAACTGTGTGCTGGGAAAGAGAAACAAAGTAGAAACTCGGAGGGCAAGAGGACAGACACAGGCTGAATGACACAGGCTGAGAGTAAATTAGTCATAATAGGATATTGGATGAGGGGGAAAAGAAGAGATATAGAGTTAGTGTGTGTTGGCGGGTGAAATGGGAGGAAGTGGAGAGGCAATGAAAGAGGGAGAAACAGAAATAAAACCGACACACGCACGATAAACACACACATGCACAGTGCAACCAGTTCTGCTTTTCTCCAGGAGCTGGCTCAGTCACTGAGGGGTCAGCCATTTATCCTGTCCCTTTACTGCGGACACTGCTGTGAAATTGTCCAATAAATCAATGTCGCAGAGGAGCAGTGCTCCCCCTGCTGACCGGCTGACTGGTTCGATGACTGTCTTTCTCACTCTGCCGGGGTTGCAATTAGGGCTTTACATACCAGAGGCTTGAACATGGACGCAAAGGAGCAGAGGTTGAATACAGATGTATGTCAGTGGACAGGTTTGTGCACTCATGCGGTGCTTTGCGGGTAGATGATATGCTGTAGTCAGCATACTGATTATCATACTGATTTTCAGCATGTAGCATTGATGCTCTCAGATGTCTTCATGTGAGACCTCTTTATTGATTGCATTTGGTCCCCAATGTCTAAGAATGAACTTTCATTAACCTCAGGCTAACCTAATCCTAAAAGTCAAGTTGTAATAAGTCATTAAGAATAATTTACATTTTTCAGCTCTTTCTGAAAACTAAGCTCTATATGGATATTGTGCCATTTGTTCAGCATCGATGTATTTCACAGAAAAAGAAATGTCTTCCTTACTTTGGATGTTCAGAACATCCCCCACCCCCCCACAGTGAGCTGTTTTGTGCTGCTGTTCAAAGATGTTTTCTTGGTTTCAGTGGCCACGGTGTTCCCTAACCTTAAAGCTGCATTAACTAAAATTTAGTACAAAATTGGATAAATCAAATAAAAAAATTGGCTGGAAGTTTCTTCTTCCTGTTGTACTAACCTGTACCCCCCACCCTACCCTATTCTGCTATCTTCAAGGCCCTGAGTTTATTTCAAGCCCTCTCTGGCCGCTGTCGTTAAAACCCACACCGCATGTCTTCCACGCCCCCGCTGATCCGAGGTTATGAGATGCGTTTTTCAAACCAGTATGGCTCATTTGAAAGGCAAACTGTGGAGGCTCCCTGTGCAGGTACAACCCAGAGTGGGAGCGGACCTGTTAGACCCAAGAGGCCGTGTTCTGTACACAGAAAGAGCGCAGCAATGAATGGGACGAAACCAGGGTTAACATCGGTTTGGCATGTCCGAGATGGAGAGCATTAAAAGCATCAAAAAGACTAAATTTGCCCCATATGTGGCTTTCTTCCTGCTAGAGTACTATAGCTAGCTAACATGTATATATTGGCATTATTAGCAACCTAATCTTAGCATTTCAACTTTGTACTTTTGTGTTGAATTATTCTGATTGTAGTGTTAGTGTTGACCAGTTAGTGGAAACTGTACAATAATAAAACGTGATGATATTTCTTACCAAGGCAAAAGCTGTCTTGTGATATCAGCACAAAGGAGAACTAGAGCAGCAGTCAATATGATGGAGTGGGACTGTACGTTCACATTAGTCTGGAAATAATGTGAGGCCATAAACTGTACCAATGCTACTGTACTACTACTCATGTTACCTACACATTTCATGCCTAAGTAAACTTTGCCTGGTCTCATTCTCCACAGGTGATCATTGTCGGATTAGCCAAAGTAGATCCAAAAATTACTCCTCAAAAATAAATCTTAAATTTAAAAAAAAGCATTCTTTCAGTAGCTCAGCCAATTAGAAAAAATATAGTTATTGACTAATACTAACAGCCAGTCACTTTGAGACAGATCTCAAGCCAAATAAAACAGTCTGTATGACTGTATACAAGAAATAGTAAGAGAGAAAATATGCTTTTATATCTGAGTGACCCGAACCTTCATAGGTATATTGTTAGGCTCTCCTCCCCCAGCAGTTCACACCTTGGATCTTGTCAGTCATGTTGATGGGCTGCCTGAACAACACTGTTGGATATTTTTGCACCAGGAGCTTGTTAGCAAGGAAAGTCTTGCAGACTCTGCCATCGTGCAAAGTATTGTTATCACTTCTCAGGATCTTCCTCTCTTTCAGATGGAAATGTTCCTTAGATGTAAAAACATAATACTGGCATTCCTTGTGTTGAACAGGCCTTGCTTGTTCATGTTTATCTTTCCTTTCCTTTTCTTACTGCTTTTATTGTTGTTAGTGAGAGATGACTTACTGTACTCTTATTTACACAACACTGTGGCTGCCAGCATCACTCTGTTCTTCACAAACAGCTCACTGCTGTGAATCATAAAGTATATTTATTGTTTTCATAGCATGTATTGTGTTACAGGAATGCTGTTGTAAACTGGCATATGTGATGACACAGCACAGGCAGGTTTCATCCCTGTCACTGGACATGCATACAAAGATACAGAGAGAGGCAAAACATCGTGATGGAGCAGCTGTGGGTGGAAACAATGCTCAGTAAGAGAGTGTGTGTCTAGACGGGAGATTAGACAGACAGACATTGTTCATTATGTGTCCTCATTCTGAATGACAGCTGCATACTGAGCTGCATCCTCTCCCAATTTTCAGTCTTGATTCTCAGATCTCTAAAATCCATTTTTGTTGTTTGTTTGTTTGGGTTTTTTTTTATTGCTAAAAACACCTACAGTTTCCTTAGCAACGCACTTAGTGACATTGCCCATGTGAACCATCACCAAGCTGTCATTCATCTCAGCAGATGGGATGAGAAAACATATTTTCAAGCGTTCAAGGTTTTAACAAAGTTGTGGGCAGAACAACAGACAGACCATCACACACACTGGATGTTTATCCGGAATGGGAGGTACTGAGTGTTTTAGCTGTGTCCAGGTGACTAAGGCATCCAGCTCTGTTGCTATGCCGACACACAGAGTGATTTTCCTCAACAGGATGTTGAGTAGAAGTGGCAACCACCACTACTGTAGACCTCCATTTATTAGGAGACTCGAGTGCGGTGAATATCTCAACATTTTGGTTGGAGAGAGCGACTTTGCCATTGCCTCAATAACCTGTTCACAGTCAGATAAAATGCCAGTAATATTTTTGAATTAATAAGAACACATGCAGTTTCGCTGTTTAGTGCCATAAAATGAGCTGCAAAACCTTGATAAATATCCCCCTATGTCTGTGTCTGGTTCAGTCATACAGTAAGTGTTTGAGATACCCCGCTAAACACACAAATAAAAACGTAACTTCCATCCAATGTTAGCTGCTTGAGGTAATAAATTCAATTGTAGCTGCATAGTTTTAAACTCTACATTAGCAGTGTGACCTGGGTTGGCAATATCAGTCAGTTTACTACTCTGGTCCACAATGAACTAGATCGACAAGTACTGTACGGGTAGGCTGCTGGGTGCACCTGACATTTTGTACAGTTCTTATGATTCCCCTTGGACATTTGTGTAGAGCCACTGCAACACAGTACATACACAGTACTGGACGAAACGTACAAAAATAAGTATAGACTTGGCAAGAAAAGGTTAAGGAAAACAAAAAAAACTGGAGACAAAAGGCCTGCTTTTGTGAGAAATACAGCTTTAATTAAAAAAGAAACACTAAAGATACACATCTGACATACTTACCCAAACAAACCAAATATAATTCTTAGTTTAAACCTAGACACAAGTCTTAACTCCCTGTTTACAGGAAAGGCCGAGCCCTTTAAGAGCAACCTTCTTCAGACATTAAAACAGCAGCTGTTGAAACAGGTGATAGGCTTAAATGCTCTCCGCTTCGAGCAGTGGTCAGGTTACATCATTCAGTATATTGATAGTGACAAAGAAGCTAAGGCGAAAGATGAGAATGAACTCTCCTCCTTACAAGCAAGCTG